AGTCACTTCTGTACAATTGTCAGACGAGAGCACACATTTTACAAAAACAAAATACATTGATTTCTAGTTTTCGCCGTCTGGAAGTACACTTTTAGGTTACTTCCGGATGATAGTAAGAAGAGTACAAAAACAAAAAATATAAATACTCCATTTTTTAGCGTGAAAAAAAAAATAAATAAATAATGCAGAAATTTTGCTAAGTTCAGTGATGTTTTGTGTTTTGTTCAGTCATGTTCAGTTTTAATTATTCATCGTAAAACTTAAATGAGTTATTGAATTTAATGTTCATAGAAAAATAGTGTAATTAAAATATTGTGAATCTTAAGTAATAAAAAACAATATGACAGTGTTGTGTTAAAAATCAACTGTTAATAAACATTTAAGAAGGTTTTCTTAATTGGCGAAGTGTATTAAATATATACAAAAAAGTGTAAGGAAGGATTATATAAATAAAATTAAAAAGTAAGTTGTCATATTAAAATACTATTTTAGGAATATGTTAACAACTCTAAACGGCTTCCATTTCCATTATTTTTAAAAAAGTCTAATATGTTTAATTAAAAATGTTTTTATATTAAATTTCGACTCTCTCTTAATTCGTTTAGGAGGTATAAGCATTTAAAGACTTTTTCAAGTTGTACATTTCGGCTTTCATTTGATGAACATTGCATTTTTAACATATTTAGATTTATTTGAGTTAAATCTTAACTTTCAATATTTTTAAAACTATTTGCGCGTTTAGGTCTGGAATCATTATATTGAAATTAATACTACTGTTTTATACATAAATTATTTTTTGACTTGGGTCACTCGACACGAAATTGCCCATATAAGATATTTAATATTGAAATCAGATAGTTTTAAACCCACATTTTTTAAATAAATACAATTTTATTAATTTTCATATAGCTTTGGATTTAATTATTCTAATTATAGGTACTTTTTTAGTTATTAACACCAGGTCTTTCTATGACCTATCATATGATACTAATATTCTTAATATTTAGCATGCCGTTCCCAAGATATTGAACCTAAGTATTAGAAGAGAGCAAACAAAAAATAGAATTGCAATATTAGTGTCAAAAGCAATATCCCGTTTAGGGTCGTTAAGGTGTTTCTATCGTTAGTGACTGTAAATAATTTAAAAAATAATCCATGACTTAGTAATTTCAGATCTTTATAGACGGTTTAATTCCAAGTTATTGAAAAAATGTTCATGAAAGGTAATGTTTTTATTGATTCAAAACAATAAATAAATAAATTAATTAATTTTTAATTATTTTATTTTTTAGAAAGCAGTAGCTAATATTGTACCCCCTATTAAAATACTTCTAACCGAATTAAAATATAAAAAAGGGATCTGGTAAGTTATATATGTCTTATTTCATCACGTGGTTCCATTAAAAATGTCGATTATTTGCAGAAAATGTAAAAAATGGATCTGACCGTTTAAAGTTTGGTGGTAAATGTATTGGACATGAGAGAATCCTATTTTTATTGCTTCCTAAAATATAACTGGTAATTTCAATAAATACAAAAGTATGTATATTCAATATTAATTATAAGATTATTTTGGTTTATTTCGTTGAAGGATTAATGCGTTCCATAATATAACTCTTACAATTTGATGGATTAATCATAAAATTGATGAAGAACTACAAAAATATTTTAGAGTCCAACGTTTTACAATTTTTGGAAGTATACCAGTCAGCAGTTGGAATATTAATACAGATTCCCTGAAAATTATCTTATTATAAGGTAATAATTCTAAATTTTTGATACATATGTACATTAGACCGACTCACTCTGTATGGAAAGCAAAAACGTGTTTTTGTTACCCCTCCCAAAATTTACCTTGCTTTGTTTTATGATGAAAATATTTTAAGTGACCGCTGGACCAAATTAAAAAAAGGTATTTTGGAATTTTTTTTTTAAATTTTTGTTTGTTTTGAAACAAAATATCCAATACGGGGTATCGTTTAAAAGGTATTTTAAAGTCGCGTCCAATGATGTATTAATCATAAATAACCGTTTGCTTATAATATTCCAAAATATTTAAACCACTAGACTTGGCTTCAAAAAACCTTTCAAATGATACCACATACTGTATATATTGTTTAAGAAATGCTGTATAATTTAAAACAAAATAACTAAAAAGGGACTTTTTTGTAACCGGTTCAGCTCACGAACGGCCATCGATAGACTAGAAATATTTTGGGAACCATTATAAAACATAACAAAGATTTTTTGAAGCTGGACAAAATATTGAATTTAACATGAAGAATCGTGTTCCCATACGATATTTTCTTTAAAACTGTCCAGCTCACGAATGGACAACACTTAACCGAAAATATTTTGGGTAACATCATATTACATAACAGCGAATATTATGAGGGGGGTAACTCAAGCACCATTTTTTGTGAGTCGGTCTAATGTACATATATTACTTTTTTTAGATTAGTTGTTAAATCAATTATATTTTCTACTATTTTAATTTCAATTAATTCAATAAAAACTATAAAATTTCATTTTATTTAGATTTATTTTTATAGATTTTATTTTGGTGGGTATACAAATAGAAGAAGAGAAAACTCATCTTCTAGAAGACGAGAATACTCATCTTCTAGAAGAAGAGAATACTCATCTTCAAGAAGAAGAGAATACTCTTCTTCTAGAAGAAGAGAAAACTCATACATACATACATACATACATACATACATACATACATACATACATACATACATACATACATACATACATACATACATACATACATACATACATACATACATACATACATACATACATACATACATACATACATACATACATACATACATACATACATACATACATACATACATACATACATACATACATACATACATACATACATACATACATACATAAATACATACATACATACATTTCTATAAGAAAATCGGAAGACATGGTACTTTAACTTACAAATGCAAATAGGATTGATTGTAATCTACATACATTACATTCTTATTTGCAAGCGTTTATAGGCGTCTCATTAACTTCGCTTAGAACTCCATTATGTAAGTGAAATTTTAATTTGTCTTAATGATATTGTGGCTTACATTCTAAGCGAGAGCACATCGATGAGGCAGCCTAGGACACTTTTATGTTAAATCTAAGTGGAAGAATAAGTGAAAGCATCACCACTGACTGCCACGAAATATCACTTAGATAAGCGAGTACATAATGTGTATTTTTACCGCTGGGAACATATGTGTTTTACACATTCTCTTTCTGGCCACCGTTGCCTTAGAACAATGTTTGGTGATCTGGATCAATTAATAAAAAGGAACTTTTTTAATGTTTTTCCTATATTATTTATGTTTCACGTAGGCTTGCCAGACGTACTGTTTGCAGCAGTACGCGTACTTTTTTTTAGTAATTGTACTTTTAACTGCATAACCTAAAGAAGTACGCAAATGTACTTCTTTTTAGTATTTGTACTTCTTTTTGTACATTTTTTTGTATTTTTATAGGTATAAATATGACCATAGACAGTTATTCTACTTTCGCTATTTAAGGACTTAATAGATAATTCTCATCCATTTGATATAAGGTTTGGATGCCTTTGTCATGTATTAAATAATACATTTATTAAAAATACTTTAAAGTTATTAACATTAAAGTTATTAACAATGTAATGAAAGTTTTTAATGAATTTTCGAAATAAAAAAATTTGAAATCTGAAGGACATGTTTGAATGTTAAAATGGTCTGTAATGCTCCGTCATGTACCATTCGATGACTTTATCCATCCCCGCTGTGGAACTATTTAAAGAAAAACGATCCTGCCATTCAAATTTTTCGTAAATGAAGTATCTGAGGAAGTTGGAAGAAAGTTATTGACTTGTAATAATTGATATGTTTTAAATAAAAAAAGAGCTAAATGGCAAATTTGAATATCAGAATAAAATTGTATGGGTTTTTAGAACGTTTTTCTATCAATAATATATCAGTTCGAGTTCTCGGTAATTTGTAACAATTTGTTACTATATTCCGTTCGCGTACTTTACAAAATTTGCAACGAGAGAGTATGAGAATGAAAAATATGACAGTTCGTTGATAGAGAATTTTTTACTGGATATTTTTTCTCCAGTAAAAGATATCAAACATATGAATGTTCACAACAAATTATTGATATTTGAAAATGTAAACAAACCAAACAAAACAAAAATTTGGTGAATTCGACATTTTTTAAAGAAAAAATATAAATTAATAACACACGAATATTAAAAAATGATTTGTAATTGGATTAATTATAAATTTATTTCTCATAAATTACTTTTCAATTGAGTTTGTTGTGAAAAATCATAACAACCTATATCAATATAGCGTTTTTAGAACAATTTAATTGAATTTTTTAAAAATAAACAATTGTACTTTTTTCTACTCAATTGTACTGCTTTTTTAACTACGATGTACGTTTTTTGTTGATTTCAAATCTGGCAAGCCTTGTTTCACGTAAAAGTATGATAATTTATTTTAATATCACGTGAAAGGTCTTTGAGAGGCGCTTTTAATGGCGTATTGAAAATTGAAGTTAAAAAAACTAATTAAAATGCTATTTAGATTATTTAAAATTTTATTAAATAGATTACACTATGCGGCAAAAATAAATACCTGGGAAATTATAGGCCGATCATGATAAAACTTGGTGAAAGTATTTGTTTTTAATTTTTAAGAATTAATCAAATTTTTAATTTTTTTAAATTTTTTTCCATCTCTGCATAATTTCTCACACAACTTTTGTGTTTGCTCTATTTTATTGTTATAAATTATATACAAAATCCCACTTTTTTATCTCTCGGATTCTGTTTTTATTTAAAATCTTTGAAAATTTTAAAATTAAGCGTATTTGAAAACTTCCGGCTTACAGTCGATTTTAAACCGCCGCCGATATTTTTAGTGTCAGCCGCCGCCGCCGTTAATATACACGTACTTTTATTTCCGTATCACATATACGCTAATGTGTAAAGCAAGTAGAAGGTCAATACTACGTTACTGAATAAATGGAAGATTTACTAACAAAAAAGTTCAAATTATTAAATTTCTAAAATCAAATTAAAAATAAATGTATAAAAACAATTCAGATGCATATGTACATAATTACATATTGAAATAATTATAAATGTTTGTGGATGTACGTTCGTTAGTTTTGTTCTTTTAGCAGATGTGAGAAAATAATTTATCGATTTTTCCTCATTTGTTTTTGTAGATTTGTTTAGATTCTTTTCCATTTTTATGGTGGTGGCTCATAGACAACAAACATTAGTGGAACGAAAACAAAAAATTGTCGTGTAGTCAATACAGTTAAAAGAATTTGGAATAAAAAACTGAAGTGGTTTTGTAATTTTCTATATTTCATTATGCCCATCGCAAATATTTTAAAGAAAGCATCAAGCTTAATACTTGGTGAAGAGAAAATTAACGAAAAAATCGATATAGTGTACGAAGACAACGAAATTCTGTTTTGTAAAAATAATGTCTGCATACATCCGCCAATTGTAGCTCGACAGGAATGTGATATGCTACACTATCCCGGATACTTGACGGTTACAACGAAAACATTTGTTGACCAATACAATAGCGCCAAACGACCAACGTTGCTTCTAACATGGATTCCGAATTCGTCTCTGTGCAAGTGTCCTTCGACCGATGAAAACTCTACGTTGGACTATATCAGAGAACCATTACCGCCAGCAGCCTATGGAAAAGTTGAAAAAGTATTTGCTAGCAGAAGTACTAGTCACGATGGTGATGATGTCAACAAGACAAAACATTCGGAAACTATTGCGGCTGCTCAAAATGATGGTGGAAAAGAAGACGACGTAACTACTACAGTGGATATGCAAGAACTACGTAACGAGTTGCAACCATTATTAGGGGGAAAGAAAGCATCTTTAGAAGACTTGGAGGCTTTAATAAAAAAGAATCCAATCACATCCGTTAATATAACGATATCAAATCCCCAAATTGAGAACGCTAATATTTCACAAACCTACAATTGTGTAGTGGTTGCGGATCGAGAACAATTGCAGCTTAATTCTGATGGATCTGTTTCAGATGATAATAATCCTAATTGGATGACGCCCGAATTGTTGGCGTTTAAGCACAATCTTGCCTTTCCAGATAGTGCTAATACGACACCAACTGTGCGTCGTAGAGTTAATATAAAATGTCGTCGATTTTCGGTTGATCTAAGTCAGATGCGTTCGTTGCGTCTATTTTTTAATGACAATAGCTGTACATCAGGACAGCTGGTAATAGCATCTCGGGAATCGCAGTATAAAATATTACATTTCCACTATGGAGGTTTGGATCATCTAGCTCAGGTATATTAGAAACTACTTTTAAATAATTATTTCATGTCGTAGTTACAGAATATGAACTTCAAATATACATATGGACAATATTATGTCAAGTGATCCAACTCAAAAAATCGATTTGAATGAATATTGCGCCAAAGTTAGTACTATTGTATAGTAGGCCAATCAGCTTTAGCTGCCGGAGTTAGAAGGGATCAAAATTGAACATTTTTGTCATATAGGGATTTGTCTAATGAGTGTAACATTTAACCTATTTGTTTTTAATAATATTCTTTTCATGTGCCCTGTTTTTGTTTCGTTGCTCAAAAGAAACCTTACACATTTCCTTTAAGGGCTTTATAGTCGCTTAATTGGATGCGAGAATTATTTTTTGATGATGGCACTTCATTTTCCCCTATTTTTTCAAAATGGACTTTTTTGGCTCAAAAGAAAGCTTAGATCATTTCCATTAAGAACTTTGTGGTTACTTAATGGGATGCGAGGGGCATATCTATAAAATAATATTTTAATATAAAAAAAAAAAAAAAAACAATTTAATGACCTAAGCTTTCTTTTAAGTAAAAAAAGTCCATTTTGAAAAAATAGGGGAAAATGAAGTGCCATCATCAAAAAATAATTCTCGCATCCAATTAAGCGACTATAAAGCCCTTAAAGGAAATGTGTAAGGTTTCTTTTGAGCAACGAAACAAAAACAGGGCACATGAAAAGAATATTATTAAAAAACAAATATGTTAAATGTTACACTCATTAGACAAATAAGTGCCAAAAATTGAAAAAAATCTTATTCTTGAGTTAAAAAATATTATTTTTTTATAGATATCATACTCGCATCCCATTGAGCGTCTATAAAGCCCTCAAAGGAAATTGTATAAGCTTTCTTTTAAGAAAAAAGTGCCGATTTTGAAAAAAAATTAAATTTGTTCGTAACAGTGAAGAAATAGCTATCTAAACTCTTTTGGAAAATTGTTGCTAGGATCAATAGGTGAAATGTTACTCATTTTAATGTATTTTCATTAAACAAGTTACACACTGTAGTTTGTAACGCGTCTGCCGCGAAAAGTTAAGCAACTTTCAACTTTTGACGCGTCGGCAGCTGATCAGGGTTGTATTTTGTTTTGTGTAGAATAAGAATAAACTAAAATGAAATAAATTTCACTAACAATGAAAGAAAAATATTAAAAAAATAAACAAAAAGTTAAAATTTAGATTTTTAAAACAGTAATACAGTAGCTTTCGTTTATAGTCATCATTGTTATAGTCACATTAGTGACATTGTCAATTTTATTAGATTTAAATGTCTCTGTAGTCATATTAAAAAGATTACTTTATAATCAATTTTTTGATATAAGCACTTTTCACATATATGCCATCTATCCGTGGCTATTAAAAGTCATGTTATATGAAAAAACTTCACTATATTGTCACAGACGAAAATTTTTTTAAATTGTCGTGAATTAAATGAATAAGTTTTTGTTGAAGAAAAACAATTTTCGATTAAAGAAATTTTAAATGCAGTAGATATTTTGCGACATTTTTGCTTAGAGCAAGATATAATTCAAATTTTTTGTTTGAAAAAAATAGAAGATAACACTGTAACCAACATCCTCAACCTAAAACAGACTAAAATTTATGATTTTTTTAAATAATATAAACAATATTTCTTTAATGTAATGAATTTATGAAAATAATATTTATTTCTTTAATAAACATGAATTTTTATACCCACCATCAAAAAGATGAGAGGTATATTGATTTTGACATTCCGTTTGTAACACACCGAAATATTGGTTATATATCGTCACGGAACTGAATTCACCTAGAAACAAATACACAACGCAATGAATAAGCAGTGTTGTTGTTGCTTATTTTTTATGAAAATTTCAGAGGTTGTCTCGGATTTTTGCTTATATCTCCGTTGTTTATGGACGGATTTTGCTGATTTTAAATAGGAAACTACTCGAAAGCATGTCTGATAGAATTATTGAAGATTTGGATCCCGAAGATATCTGGGGTCTTCAGAAAACTGATTTCAACAGACAGACAGACGGACATGGCTTAATCGACTCCGCTACCTATAAGGATTCAGAATATATATACTTTATAGGGTCGGAAAATTGTATTTTGGAAATTACAAACGGAATGACAAACTTATATATAACCTTCTCACGAAGGTGAAGGGTATAAAAATGGATAAATTGGAATTTTTGCCTTTAATATTTAAAAGTTTTTGTAGATAGGGCCTTTTTTGTCAATAAAATCGCTAATTTTGATCGGAGGAGTCAATTTTATGTGGACATTTGATTTGATGCAATGAATCAGAATCAACCATAAAATCGATATTAAATTTTTGGTTAGTTAGGGCCGTTTGCGTTTCAGGTGACGATATGTTCTGTGTCCTTATTAAATTCTAAGACAGGCCGAACGGCAAGAGGTAGAGGATTGGTCTATAACTGACCCTACACCTCATATAGGGTGCCCTTAAAAAATGAATTTTATGCTCATTATTGGCTAAAAAATATGAGTATAGCGATGAAATTTGACATAAGTAAGTTTCTTGCGAGCCAAAATCTCTCTACCGAATTTTATGTGGATCGATCCCTAATTGGCATATACCAAAAAATTTGTTTATAATCAGCGATATAGTCCTCAATTTGTGTGCAATTAAAGGTTGTAACCATATAGTAGGGATATAGGCGAAACTGAAGGGGTCATTGTGACCATTTTGGCATTTTTGCAGCTAGATTTAGCATTTTTTATTTTGATTTAGCTGTAAAATTTTAATTTAGCATTTGGCATTTTATTTAGCATTTTTATAAAATATTTTTAGCATTTTTAGCTTTTTTTTGCAATTTTAGTATATAAACAAAAAATAAAGACACATTTTTGCAAAAAAGATTTATATTGGAAATAGGTTTAACCGGAAAAAATCAGAATCAAATGTCTACCCAAACACAAGCAACAAGAAATATGAGAAATGTAATAATTTACACTGTAATTCAAAATAATACAAAAAGATTCATGAAGATAAATAACTTAAAATTACGCCAATACAAGTGAATACTTTTAAATGTTGTATTCTAAAATATTTTTCTGGAACCCAATGCTTTTTTAAATTCGAAGTGATAGATTTCATATATTTTTACAAATACGTTCAGTACGCTATTTTACAAACTAATACTTTTTGTTTGCTCATGGAATGAAACATATAATTTTGGAAAAGGCTATGTATGACGGTTAATTAACAAATTTTATTTTTTCCTATACGAAATAAAGAGGTTTTAATTTTTATCATCTTTCAGGAGTTCTTGTTAATTTATTGAAAACTAGTATTGAAAAAAATCAATAATATATAATTAAGACTTTCTCATCCTACTTTCTGTTCTTTTTATTTTTACCAAATTTTTAGTAATTTTGTTGTCACGTTTTTTTTTTTTTTTAATTAAAAAAAAAATACATAAATTTCGAAAATATTATTGACAATTTATTCCAGAATTACAAACTTACGGATTTGAATATATCTCTCAATTCATTTCATACATTCTCATATATATTTTTCCGAAAAAATCTTGGAAGTATGAGTTATAAACCTGACATCTATTCACCGAGGTTTAAAATTATTTCAACGGAATTTGCAATATTTTTGTGACATGAAAACCATTTTTAAAGTGTTTTGAGGAAGACAAATAAAATTGTTTATATAAAAAAAGTAAAACTAGAAATACTATACTTTTCCTTCCGAAAACACATATAGGTTTTATACCATGAGCAACTAGTGTAATTAATAGAGTTTTAATGTAATTTTTGCATTCAGAAATATTTTAAAGTTAGAGACATTACATATTGCTAAATTTACAAAAATTTTGAAATAATTTTTAGCATTTCTGTTTATCTTAATACCACGGAACTTAATTTTTTACCCTACTCCACTATACTACGTTTGAGTATACTAATCGGTTAAGAATCATTTTCTGAACCGATTAAGCCATGTAAGTCTGACCGTCTGGTAGAGGTTGAAATTTTCAAAACAATAAGCACGTATGCTAAACCTTTTAAAAATGGTTAAAGTCCGTCCTTTATTTTACCTAGCCCCCATACATATACAAATGTATAAAGCCTTTCTCAGAAAATTAGTTTAAATATATCGGAACCAAGGTTCAATTCAACATAAATGCGTTATTACGAAAAATAAATCAAATTTTATACTCATATGGTCAACCACGGCAGAATATACTTTCTTACTTGTTATAAATTACAATGAATTTCAGTTACAAATTAATATGAATTGTTCATAAAAACACTTAAAAAATGTTAGCATTTTTTTTTTGGGCATTTTAAAATCAATTTAGCATTTTTTCTAGCATTATTTTGGATGGGATTTAGCCGCAACATTTTTTGAGACCTGGTCACACTGGGAGGGGTTGTCAAACAAAATTTGTTATTCTCTTCACACAGACGAGTTCTGAGAGCATAAAACATTCTTGAGAGAACTAAACGTACTCACAAAACTTCAAATTTTCTTTGCGAAATTGCGAGGATTTTAGCACTTAATAGTTTTTCTTATCACTTAAACTTAATATTTATTATTTTTTTTCCACACTTTTAATGTATTTAAAACCCCGAAAACAATTTATATTTTACAAACGAAAAAAAAAATATTTTTTATTCTTTGACATTTCATTTTATTTAAAACTGAAAAAAGAAAAGTTGTAAATTTTCGTATTTAAAATGAAAAAAGTATTTCCCATACTTTTTTTCTTTTTCCATTAGTGCAGAAAAAAATAAAAAGACGTGTTCATAATATGTTTTAAGATGAAATATCTTCTGAAAAAAATTAATTAACTACTATTTTCATTCACTAGTATATGAAATCCCAGTAATAACATACAAAAAATAAATTATCAAAACTACATTTATTATTTAGTACCTTTCGAACAACTGTGTTTATTTTCATGCTTCTACTAATACATTCTCACCAGTTAGGTTTTTGGCAGGGGACTTAGGTCTTT